TCTCTCTCTCTCTCTCTCTCTCTCTCTCTCTCTCTCTCTCTCTCTCTCTCTCTCTCTCTCTCTCTCTCTCTCTCTCTCTCTCTCTCTCTACCTGGTGCTGCATGACTGTCTTCATCTCATGCTCATGTGTTCACCCCGGAGGATGATCAGCATTCAGTGATGGTTGAAACATGTTGGGCATTCCGAAATGATCTTCTTACTGGGTCCGTTTGTCATTTGTTGACGCTTCTCCCGTCCTCAATGATGGATTGGCCTAGTAGGAGTTCTAGGAGGGCTTCATGTCGTAATTATTGATTCCTAATTTAAATCGCTTGGGCTTCAAGATATGTTGTTGCATTGCCTCCTCATTGTCTTCCTCCATATCCACTCCCTTGCTCTGCGTTTCCTCTTGCTGTTGTTTTCCATCCTCTTTCTCTTTCTCATTTTCCTCCGCCGCCGCCTCCTTCCCATCCCATCCCCAGGATCCCCTCTATGATCGTGCCTCCATTCCCGTCACTTAATCCTTCTGCTACCTACTTTGCCTCACCATTGCCCAAGGTATCTGTTCCTGGACTTTCATTTGGACTTATCTTGTTTCCACACGTCTGAATAAGCTCACTCTTTTGTTACTTGGTTTCATAATGGAATGGTTGCAAGTTATTTCCTGGTCTCTCGATGTTCTTATCTTCGGGTTACGAGTGCTATGAATCTTCCTCAAAGTACCGTATGGAACTATTAGGTATGCAATTGCAAAGTGCCGACGGGAAGATGCTAAAAGAAAGAGGAAGATGTGATAGACATGAATTGTTTCTAACCTGTTGTGTTGCTGATTTCTTTCTTCTCATCTTTCTATACTGCTTATTGAGCTTGCGACCTCATGGATCTCTACTCTAGCCACATCCTTACCTCTCGATATTCCCTGGCGGACCCCTGATTCTCTCTATACCACATCAGTTGAGGACCATCACTCTCCTTTACTGGAGTAATCTGACCAGATAGTGCCATAGTGGTTGTTGGCACCCACGGTGATTGGGGGTCTGGAGCAATCTCGACAGTTAGCCCTGCACCGCCCTGAGGTAACCCTGGACAGCGGACGGACACCAATATGAAACGGTTTTCACCTTTGCAGAGGCAGATGCAGATCCGGGGGTTTGATCCCCAGACCTTACCTCACGCATGTACAGTATCGAGTTGACCTCTCAGTGCTTGAACCCGTGACCTGTGTTTTATGAGTTGTTGTTTGTCTGTCGTAGGACTGTGTGGACATAGGGATTCGATCTGTAGACCTGTCGAGTAGAGGTCTTAGAGAGTTCCAGAAGTCGTAGCTGTAGATGTCCCGAAGGGTCAAAGTCGTAGCTGCTACAGTCCTGAAGGGTCAAGGTCGTAGCTGCTGCAGTACTGGAAGGCCAAGTCCAAGGTCTTCCGGAAGGTCCGGAAGTGGCCTTTCGAGTTTTCCTCTCACGTTTTCCACAGAAGGCCAGAGGCAAG